AAAAACGAAGTGATTGTCCTTGAGGACCAATTTAAGAAGCTGTTTGAATTTTTGTTGGTTAAAGTTAGAGTGCAGGGCATTTTTGTTAGGGAATAACTGTTTAATAATTATTTTATGTGTCCCCTCAAGTGGGATGTTAATGAATAAGGAGTGAATATCAAATATGGCTGTAACGAATTGGTCTGCATTAGGACATTTAGATATCTCTTGAGCAAAAGAAAAAGAATCTTTAACAGTGAATTCGTTATTAGTTAGTGAGCTTAATGCAGATACAAGATATTCAGGAAGTTTGTAGGCGTGGGAACCAAGAATAGATTGAATAGATCGATAAGCCATACATAAAACCAGGGAGGGAACCTGTAGGATAAAGATCTGTAAAAGTGGTGTCAGAGATGAGTTTACAATTTTTAAAATATTTTAAAGTCCGTCGAAGTATATGAGAATTTCAGCTAGAAGCGAATATAAACTAACTAATCCACCCGAGTCTTGTATCCGATTACACAGCGAAAATAACAATCATCCCATACTTCTAAAAAACTTTGAAATTCTTGACTTCAGAACCATAGATTACGAACTCTTTATTAATGAAAGCCTTTCCATTTTCAGTTATCACCCAACACTAAATAATAACACCAATTCCTTCCTATTGTCATTAATGTGATTAATCCTCGGTGTTTTTATCTGATATTTATTATTATTTTAAAGATACAGTGTTTATACTTATATTTAAGCCTTTCTCTATAATGGTTTCTCTTAACAATGTTATTTATTAAACATGTGTATGCCGCACGTTTTATCGTACATTCCATTATATTGTTACCGTTTAAATCTGTTCTTTCTAAACTTCCGATTCAATACGATGGTAAAAGTATTGAAACACAGGATATTCAGAGCGTGATATCAGAAAGTATCATTCTCTAGTATAAAAGATAAGAATAGAAAACACCAAAATACCGGCGGTAGTTGTGACTCAGTGTTACAACTGCCAAAGGTATGGACACGTAACGGCAGCTTGTAAAGCTCTCCTCTCGCTGTGTAGGCTGCGGGAGAGAACACTACAACTCAGACTGGCCTAAAACCAGTACAGAACCGTTCTGCTCCAACTGCCAGCATCAACATACTGCAAGCTACAAAGGATGTCCTAAGTATAAGGACATCAAAACACGTATTCTAAACACACAAAATATTGTAAATCAAATAAACAGTACAAAAAGAAGAACACCTCTGGTACCAACACCACAACAAACAGAAAACACGAACATGGACGTACAGCAACAAACTTACACCTACGCATAGGCAACACGCAAACAAAAACACAACCCACAATCAGCATAACACAACAACCACAAGAACAAAACAGCCAAGAACAGACATGAAATCCAATTGTAGAAGCAGTCAAAAAATATTTTATGATTTCATCACACAAGAAGACTGCATCACACTGATTACAAAAATCGCAAAACAAAATCTTTTACCATTAATTCCATATTGTTGCGTCAGCGAGGTCACGCGACTAGTATCACGCCACTTCTTTCTCGAACCTTCGTGAATTGTCGGGAGATTACTAGATTACAAAAATCGCAAAACAAAATCTTTTACCATTAATTCCATATTGTTGCGTCAGCGAGGTCACGCGACTAGTATCACGCCACTTCTTTCTCGAACCTTCGTGAATTGTCGGGAGATTACTAGATTGGGGATAGCTGGTATATATAAGATGGTCACAACGTGACGGGACAGTGTGTAGGTAATGAGTAATTGAACTGCAGTCAGAGAGTGTGTAATTGAGTATTGTCGAGCACGTGAGACGTTCTAGCGTTTGTTATAGAGCAACTGTTGAAATTAAGTGTATCGGTAAAGTTGTATTCGGAAAGAATAAACCAGTTTTATTTAAGAAAGGACTTGTGTCGCTAAAGTTTCGTCGGAACGAATTTTCGGAAAATTAATTAACGAACGGAGGCTTAACAATATATAATACAACAGTTCACGAACTTCGTAACACGCAAAATATTCATAACCTTAGATCCTAAAGATGTGTTCAAATCGGGGACTTGAAAATTCCAAGCCAGGGATATCCCTTGTATTTAGTGGTATTGGAAAGCAAAAAAATATGGACAAACTTGAGGCACCATCCAGAAAGTGACCTGCAATAAGTTGTACTATAGCTATGGTAAGCAAAGTGTGGCGTCTTGTAACAGAGGAGAATTTACGAACACTAAGATCAGTGGCAAAAGCCGTCCACGTACCCGAGGAAACAATACGCGATATAATCAAGAAAGACCATCGTTGAAAAGTGACACGAGTTGCTTCCACGCCATTCAACCGTCGTATATCCCAAGCAGCTGGAGAATGAAACTAGTATTCATATTATTCTATACAAAGACATACTGGTCGAGCTGCTTATGGATTTCTGTGTGGTTGGAGTGTTGAAACGAGCGCTGAAAAACTGTCATACTAGTACATTGGATGGATTATGGAAGGTATGCAGAGAGAGAAGGGTGCACTTTTGTCATGGAAGTCTTGTAATGAAAAGTACGCTGCAGGGCTATTGTCAAGATGCGTTGTTGTCAGGTAGAGCATGAATGGAAATGGTGAAGCTCCAAAAGCGTTTTGATATAATACACTCAACTTTTGTATTTGATTAGAAATGTTTTGTTTTACAGAAATTCTAATTGCTTGAATGACTTAATTTAAGAGTTTGATTGTGAAAACAAAACGAGAAACTCCTTGTATCTCTTAGGAAACCTAAATCAATTATTTAATTGATTCATCAGTTGGAAAACGGAGTTTTATAATAAATATTAAAAACACGGTAATACCAAAAAGAAAAAAAAATAATTAGGGACGTTTAGGAATTTTTTAAGTTCCATCGTCAGCGTTAAAATCTCAAACAAATCTTAGTTCATAATATTCGAACTACAAAAACAACATTAGTTATTGAGCGAGTTTTCGTTTTCAGTCTCTCTCTCTCTCTGCATCGGGATTTAGATGCTGGACACCTGGGAGAGTTAGGTTCTTTTTCGACCTGTACTTCTGTACTATTGCAAATTTGTATTCTTCTTGGTTATTTATGTTTAGTATTTTATGTTGTTGTTGTTTGTTTGGGATGTTTGTGTTTTTCTCCTTCTCAGGGCCATGTCCATGAATTTTATTTAATTACTGTTTTGGTTTAATGCAGACTTATTTTCTTTCTTGTATAGTTGTGTTCTGTGCTTTATGGGAAAACAAATGAACAAATAAGCAAGAACTTTATTTACATTAATGTTTGTGTAAGTCACCCATCTGCTGACAAACTTCTATTCCTGTGATTATTGTTTGATTGTGGAGGTTGAGGGAAACGCTGGAGCTGAACAAGAGAGAGTCAAAAAATTAATAGAACTATGGCAATACTTTACTAATATAGTCAGACAAAACCTTAGCGCGATGTCCCACAAGTCCTCGGGTTAAATACTTCAACCAATAATTTACATACACTTCAAACCAGTTTGTACAGATTTCTGTATTAGCAGTTTAAATGAGCTTCCTTCCTAAACGTCTACACAGACACGTGTACATGTAGTGTTGAAACTGAAGAACCAAGGTTCCAGTAAGGTACCCGAATAAAAATATATTTCGTACTAGTTATAGAATGGTGAAATTGATAAGTATTTCAGCTACAACACTCATTTCTTGCCCAAAAAGAGTCCTGTCGGAAGAGCCACTAATAATTGAAATCTACTGTTAACGTTCTAGCAGTTTAAAATACCGTTTCAATCGGTATTTGAAAAACAATAACAAAATTTGAAGAAAAGTCTATTTCAAATTATAACGTAACTCATTTGAAGCAAGATATTCAATTATAAAAATTGCATTAATTAT